CCCCTGAGCTAGTGAATTCTTTTGCTGAGTTGTGTGTAGTCAGAAGTACTTTGCCCTCTACCCATGACGTCCACACACATATCTGAATGTTAGCGTTGTGTTTCTGTGAGGGGGAAGGAACTGTGCACCTCTTGAAGGCCTAGGATAAAGCATCCCTCTCCGTAAGTCTTTGACAATCTAGTCAGAGACTCGCTGAGGATTTCTTCACCGGTCCAGTGTTTTGCTGCGCACTGTCATTTCATCCGTAACTCTAGCTGTGCGCCGGTGTGGCCATCTCCTTCCAGCGTTGACAGCACTGATCCCCCTTTGTAGCTTGGCGTGTCTCAGCGTCGTCTTGACAAAAGTTGGCACGGCCCTGCCAATCTACTCGAGCAACCCCTCTGGCAAGGAGGGAGGGTTTATTGATAAACGGGGGGGGGGGAGACCGCACATCTGTACAGAGTGTGCGGGTGACAGGAGATCATCTCACATTGATTGAGAAGGGTCTTTTCCGCTGGCAGCTTGATGGCTCAGGATGCACAAGTAACCAGTGTTCCCTCTAAGCTGAGTTAGTGTGAGCTAACTCACAGTTTTTTAGCCTCCGGCTCACCCATTTTTGCCTTAGCTCGGGAAGGATGGCTCCAGAGCAAACTAATTGATGCAGCAGCCAAATCACTCGCTCACAACTTTAATGCCAGTTGCTCACATGGTAGAATTTCTGCTCACAAGACTTCACGGCTTAGAGGGAACATTGCAAGTAACCCGTGTGAGACCAGAATGGGTTGACTTTGGGAGTCCTCGAATCCAGCCCACCTCCACATCAAATGGTCTAACCTTTCCTGAACTGTACCACTTCCAGCTGCAGGGAGGGGGAAGGAGGTTCATGTTGGAACATTTTCTTTTGGCAAATGGACCTCCCCGATAATAGAAAGAAAGCATTTCAGCCTAAGTGGGTCTCCATGACATGCTAGCTTTCTTGGTGCAGAGAGGTTTTTTTAAAGGCATGTAGGGGGGGATGTGGCTAGCCCAGCCTATCTTGCTCTTGTCAGCTCTCAGAATATTGGTTCATTTTTTCATATGTGGTAGACATGTGATAAAAAGTATTGGTCTTGGATACATGAACTTTTACAAAAATTGTTAGAAACCACTGTACCCTATACACCAGAATTGTTTTTGTTGAACATAACACCAGAAAATTATAAAAAGAAAATATTTTCATCTTGTTCTATGTATTGTGATGATGACAAGAATCGTATATGCCAAATATTGGAGAAGAAGTAAAGTTCCCTCAAAAGAAGAAGTTATAAGCAAAATATTGGAAACAGCTGAGATGGATAAACTAACTATAATTTTAAGAGGGAACAATAAAGAAGCTATTAAGGAGACTTGGTCAAAATGTTATGAATGGATAAAAGAAAATAACATTTAAAATCCCTGGGCTCTTAACTGAATTAAAAGGAAATAAGAACTATATACTTAATCTTTAGTAAAAGAGATATATTAGAATTATAAGGTGGGGTTTTTTCAGATTTTCTGTTTATAGTATGAGGTCAAGAATTGTGAGGAAACATAGCACAAAGGGAATTCCCCTTTATATGTATTATTATTATTATTATTATTAATGATAATAATAATAATACCTTTTGATTTATTGATCGCTCAATCCTGCAGAGCTGCTGGCTCTGAGCAATTTACAGTTACACAGGTTTTCACAAGGGACTATCAATGATAGGGGTAAGGGAGGACAACATATAATTCTTTAAATCGCACACGTTTGCAGCCGACGGGGATTTTGTTCAACTGTAGGCTTCAGTCGTGTTCCGGGCGGCATTCATTTCATTCATATTTATGTATGTTTATGTATTTGTTTGTCTTATATATATATGAAATGTAAAAAGAAGCTAAGCAGGGTCGGCCCTGGTCAGTATTTGGGAGGGAGACCATCAAGGAATACCAGGGCCGAGAATCAGAGACGGGCAACGGCAAACCACCTCCGAACATCTCCTGCCTTGAAAACCCTACGGGAGCCCCGTAACTCGGCTGCAACCTGACAGCCGGGGGGGGGGGGAGACTTTAAAAAGGAAACCCCTCCCCTGAAAACTGAAGTTGTCAGGGCCAGACAAGGGGAGGGGAGAAAAAAATGAATCCCTCACCTGTAACCTGAAGTCATAAGGGCCAGACAAAATGATACCGCTTTTTGAGAATGTACAAAGTGGCTCTGGAGCTGTAGGCAGAGAATAACGAGGAGGAACCAGCCGGACAGATTTATTCTGCCACCCAGAGGAGGAGGAAATCGGCTGAGGGCCCCCCTCCCGCGGTCTGCCATTCTCCGTACTTTTTTGTTGAGTGCTCTCCAATCTCCCTCCAGGGCAGATATAGTGAGTGGAACAAAAGAAAAAAGATAGGCCGTCGTTTCGCCGTAAAGGATTGAGTGCCAACCGCAGCTGCGCTTGCCAGTCCCCGCTTTCCCAAAGGAGTGTCTGTGTAAAAACTGACGCCCTGAATAATTTCCACATTTCCAGGGTTAAAGGGAAGATTTATGATGCTTTCCTTCTGTCAGGGGACCTGCTCCTCTTCTCTCTTCTCTCTCTCTCTCTCTCAAAAAAAAAAAAAAGGCAATTCAGCTCAAGTTCTCTGGTCTCCAAGGGCTGCTGGGACCTTGGCCTATGCTACAAAACCCAGGTCCTGGCAACTTCAGTGTGTACTTTTGGGGTCAGACATGGCTCCATAGTGGAGCGAAAGCCAGTTTGGTGTCGTGGTTAAGTGCATGGACTCTTATCTAGGAGAACCAGGTTTGATTCCCCACTCCTCCACTCGCAGCTGCTGGATGACCTTGGGTCAGTCACAAGTTCTTTCAGAGCTGTTCTCTCACGAGCAGTCCTCAAAAGAGCTCTCTCAGCCCCGCCTACCTCACAGGGTTTCTGTTGTGGGAAGGGAAAGGAGTTTGTAAGCTACTCTGAGACTCCGAGTGAAGGGTGGGGTATAAATCCAATCTCCTCCTCCTCCTTTTCCTCCTCCTCCTACTTCTTCTTCCTTGGTCCAATCCAGGGCATCTCACATCTCAAAAGACCAGTTAAAATCAAGATCTGAGACCATGAATCCGCACAAAGCTACCTTATAGTGACTTGGAGGGCTCAGGTTAGCTCAACGTCAGATCTCAGAAGCTAAGCAGGGTTGGCCCTGGTTAGGACTCGGACGGGAGACCACCAAGGAAGTCCGGGGTCATGACGCAGAGGCAGGCAGTGGCAAACCCCCTCTGTTTGTCTCTTGCCTTGACCTGGATGGCCCCCAGGCGAGCCCGATCTCATCAAATCTCGGAAGCTAAGCTGGGTCGGCCCTGTTTAGTACTTGGATGAGAAAACTCCAAAGAAGTCCGGGGTTGGTCCATAGAGGCAGGCAATGGCAAACCACCTTTCTTGCCTTGAAAACCCTGCTAGGTCCCTATAAGTCAGCTGTAATGATGGCACTTCAAATCACCACTTCATGCTGAATCCGACCTTTAATCCCTCAAAGTCAGTCTTGTCTACTCAGACTGGCAGTGGCTCTCCAGGGTCTCAGGCAGAGGTCTTTCACATCACCTACTGTATGGTCCTTTTAGCTGGAGATGCTGTGGACTGAACCCAGTGCTTTCTGCATGCCGAGCAGAGGCTCTCCCACTGAGTCACGGCCCCTTCCAATCCCTGCCTGAGACCTCCAAGAATCCTGTCAGTCAGATGTTGAACCCAGAATGCCTTTCGGCGAGACGTTTGCAAACCCGATCTTCCTTCTTTTGGGTTTACAGAGTTTCTAAAAGAAAGGCCCTTGGCATTAAGTAGGAATGTAACTCGCTTGCAAAAAGATCCCCCTATTTTGAATATCATATTCAGGTTTTGCTGGTCACTGGGAAGGGGCATGGAGTTGTTCTTTCATGAAGTATGGCACACCCTTTCTTCTCCATGCCATTGGTATCACTAGTTCTCCCACAACCCTGAGCCAACATCTATGCCTTGTTGTTGGCCCTCCAGAGGAACTGGTTGACCACTGTGTGAGACAGGATGCTGGACCAGATGGGCCACTGGTCTGATCCAGCAGGGCTCTTCTGATGTTCTTATCAGGGGAAGGCCATGGCCACTATGCCCTGTTGTTAACCCTCCAGAAGAACTGGTTGAGACAGGATGCTGGACTAGATGGACCATTGGTCTGATCCAGCAGGGCTCTTGTGATGTTCTTATCAGGGGAAGGCCTTGGCCTCTATACCCTGTTGTCGACCCGCCAGAGGAACTGGTTGGCCACTGTGTGAGACACGATGCTGGACTCGATGGATCAATGGTCTGACCCAGCAGAGCTCTTCTTAGGTTCCTACAATATTCTGCTCTGGATGTCCAACAGAACATGAAGTCAGCCACCCCGCCCCCCCCCGGTTGACCATCTCCTTTCTGGTATGTCTGCCAAAGCAACATCAGTGCCTTTTGAATAGAGAATAGTTGGGGCATGTCTTGCCACGGTGCTTAAGAATCTAACAGCCACAGTGAACGATAGAAACATCAGATCCTCAAACAGGAATTGAAGGGAAAGCAGGGGCCAAAATTTGAAATCCATCAGTCTTTCACAGAGACAGACCATAGAGATATTTGCCAGTTCCCCCCCCCCAGACCAGTTTCCCAGTTAACTATATTCCCGAAGGCTCAGTGGCGTCTCCCCTCCCCACTTTACACTAGACAGCCCCTTTCAAGCTTGTTTTACAAATGTCCTCGATATTCCCCCCCACAGCTCGGTAATTCATTATTCATCTGAGGCCTCACACCGGAGGGATATTGTTCAGAGATTTTTGGAAACACAGAATCTTAATAATGGCCCAATTAAATCGGGTGTTGAACACCTGCACGGCGGTAGATAACGTTACCTTGATTAGAATAAGATATACCAGGAGGATTTCCGTAGCGAGGGTTTCGGAAAGTGTTGGCATTCAGGGAGGACGTTGGCAGTCTTGAATTAATGGCTTCTTTCCTCTCCCCCCTCCCTTTCTGTTCCCACCCCTGCAGTCCGTCAAACCCACCAGCTCCAAGATGCAGTTGCTGGAAACGGAGTTTTCCAAGACTCTCGGCGAGATGATCGACTTCCATCTCCACCAGCAGAAGAGCATCCCGGCTTTCCTCAGTGCCCTAACCCTGGACCTCTTCAGCCGCCAGACCGTGGCTTAGCCCAGGTTCCGCTGCCTTTGCCACCCTTTGGCCCGAGGATCGCCCCCAGGCAGGCCTGGCCCGTATTCCTGTGTCATCAGGGGAACGGGTCCCGTTCCTTTATTTTAGTTGACTTTTCTAAGTGTCCGGCTTCTGCGGCCTCCTCTTCCGTGACGCCTTTCAGTTTGGGGGTGTCAAGGAGTTCAAACCCGAACACACACACACACCGAGTCCCATGGGCAGATGCACACATACAACCGGATGGTTGTTTAATTTTTTAAAAGAACAGTTTATAAGGTTTCTTAAGTTCCAATCAAATAAAGAATTACTCTGTAATCAGCCCATTACTCTTTGATCACACAGCGAGAAAATAGGAAAGCTAGCTCGACTGCCTAATATTTTTCGGACAAATGTGGACAAACACAACCTAATCAGAGAACGAGTATAAAGACAACAGTCATGAGAGTCTGACCCACAAATCAAGCAGTCAACAAGATTTGCAAAGAAAATACTTATTATGTATTACAGTCTGAAGCACTACAACATAATAAGTAAATTCCTACAAATCATAAGAAAATCCTAGTGCAAAGGTACATCATCAGCGTCGTCTCTGGATTATATAACAACATTTCAAAATTGGATCTTCCTCAGGAAATGTTAGAGTAGTACAAAAGTTATCTTGTTCATAAGGTGCTTTTACAAGAAGTCATGAAAGATCATGCATTCAGATAGGATGCTGATCTCAGTAAATGTTCAGGCTCAAATATGCTTCTAAGCTCCTAATGGATCCTAGGCATCTTGATTTGTGGGTCAGACTCTCACGACTGTTTTCTTTATACTTGTTCTCTAATATTTTTCAGAACCTGCGTTAGATGGAACCAGCCTTAAATTCCACAGTCAAAGGCCAAAGCTCAGGCGTTCTCTACGTTACTAGCAGCTGTGTGTAATAGTTTAGGCCCCTAGTCCGTCAAAGTCCAAGCTAGTCAGTCTTCCTCGGGGCCTTAGCTGAATTATAGTTTTTGGGCCCTTCACATCACATGATGATGACATCCACTCAGGACATGTCTCCAGAAGAAAGTTCTAGAAAATTACCTCATCGCCTCTGGCTCTCCCCCCCACACCCATCACACGGACCACAGGTTCTCATGAAAAGGTAGCTACTTTGGCCTTGAGGTAAAAGCTGTGTTGGCCTAAAGGCCAAGTAGTAACAATTAGTAACACCTGAAGAATAGACCAGGCCCGTTACTGTTCATGTTAACCCTTGAGAGGAGGCTGGGGTGCTTTGCCTCACCGGGGGGGGGGAGTAACCAAAGAAATATGGCATCAGGGTCAGTGGGTGGGTTTTATTCATTCTTTGGAGGTCTGGACAGTTTTGTGCAGGCTGGATTCTGACTGTCTTGAGAGAATGAACAATGTATATTGGATTATCCCAAGTTTTCCAGGAGGCATCTGACTGACAGCAGACTGTCTTATTAATCTGTAGAAAGCCTTGTGTCAGTTTTCCTGTTTGGAATTAAACCTTAGAAATATTGTCACCTATAGCGGAATCCAAAAGTTGGTATTGGTTGATTCTCTCTCATCTGACTGGGCAGGATTTAGGGCTTTGTTGAGGTCATACCTGGAGGGATGGAGCAAGAAGAAGTATCTGAAGAAGAAGAGTTAGTTTTATACACCACCACACAACGGATACCCTGTGAGGTAGGTGGGGCCGAGAGAGCTCTTTCGAGGACTATGCTTGAGAGAACAGCTCTGAGAGAACGGTGACTGACCCAAAGTCACCCAGTTGGCTTCATGTGGAGGAGTGGGGAATCAAACCCGGTTCTCCAGAGTAGAGTCTCTGCTCTTAACCACTATACCAAGCTGGCTCTCAAGTGAGCAGTGACTCACAAAAGTTCCAACCCTTCCACAGAGTTTCTTAGTTTTTAAGGTGCAACTGGACTCTTGCTCTTTTCTGGTGCCACAGACAGTAACACAGCTACCCATGCTGCTCTACCTGGAGAGGGAACACACCTGAAGCTGCCTTTTTCTGAATCAGATGATGAGTATTTCCTACTCAGACTGGCAGCAGCTCTCCAGGGTCTCCACTGGAGAACTTTTCACTTCATCTACTGCCTGGCCCTTTTTTACTGGAGATGCTGGGGATTGAACCTGGGACCTTCTGCATGCAAAGCAGAGGCACTTCCACTGAGCCACAGACCCTTCCTAGCTTGCCAAGCTGTGGGTCTTGAGATTTGCTAGAAGAGAAAACTGCAGCTCAGAGTACCACAGAGAGGTGGTCTTCTGTTCCATGTACTCTTCCCATGACGATTCTAGGCTGCTTTGAGTCTCAGCTGGGGACACACAGAGAGTGATTAAAAGGTGGCATTCACTGCCAGAGGATGTAGCGATGGCCGCAGGAATAAACAGCTTTAAAAGGGGATTAGATGAATTCATGGAGGATAAGTCTATTGATGGCTACTAACCCTGGTGGCTGAGGGGAAACGCCACATTCAGAGGTACTAAGCCTCTGAAACTGAGCCAAGAGGCAGCATCAGGGGAAGGCCTTGGCCTCTATGCCCCGATGATGGCCCTCAAGAAGAACTGGTTGGCCACTGTGTGAGACAGGATGCTGGACCAGATGGACCCCGGGTCTGACCCAGCAGGGCTCTTCTGATGTTCATATCATGGGAATGCCTTGGCCCCTCTGCCCCATTGTTGGCTGTCCAGCGGAACTGGTTGACCTCTGTGTGAGACAAGATGCTAGACTAGATGGACTATTGGTTTGGTCCAACAGGACTCCTCTTATGTTGTTATGAGAGAGAAAAATGTGCCATCAAGTCATAAGGGACATAACCGTGGTGTTCTTGAGGCAAGAGAGAACCAAAGGTGGTTTGCCATTTCCTTCTTCTGCATAGCAACCCCAGTCTTCCTTGTTGGTCTCCCATCCAAGTACAAACGGTGGCCGAACCAGCTTTGCTCCCAAGCTCTGAGGAACGCAGACGAAGCTAGGCCATCCCAGGCTGCTAACTGGGGAGAAAACCAAGATGTGAATGAATAAATAAATACAAATGCATGTACAAGCTCCACACTTCCAGCCAGTCACGGGGGCTAACGTAGCACGCCCTGTTTTCTTCTGTGCAGAAACTGGGCACGGAGGCCAGATTGCGCACTGCCTCGAGGATCAAGCGAGGCAGCATCCCAGCTGCAAGCGACAAAGTTCTTCGTTCTAACCAGTGTGTGTATTTCCTGTTGGAATCAAATTGGGCCAGAACATAATACCACCCTTGATGATAAAAGGTAGGGTGGAGCCATTTCTGGTCTGACGTTTGGTGTAGTGGTTAAATGCGCGGACTCTAATCTGGGAGAATTGGGTTTGATTCCCCACTGCTCCACTTGCAGCGGCTGGATGACCTTGGGCAAGCCACAGTTCTGTCAGAGCTGTCCTTGAAAGAGCAGTTTCTATCAGAGCTCTCTCAGCCCCACCTACCTCACAGGGTGTCTGTTGTGGGGAGGGGAAGGGAAAGGAGTTTGTAAGATGCTCTGAGACACCTTTGGGTAGTGAAGAGCAGGGTATAAATCCAATCTCTTCTTCTTCTTCTTCAAAAGAAGGTTGTCCTGCGATCCAGTTCTCAACACGTGGATGGGGAGCAATCATCATGCAGGGGCCGCGGCCATGATGTCGTGGCACTAGGGGGGCAGTGTAGCAATTTGTTTGGCACGAGGGCCAAGAGTCCACGTTTCTTCTCCTCCCTCCCCTCTCCCTCAGCTGCCTCGAGTCTCGGTGGGAAGATGGATTGCCTGGCATTCCGTGCCAGGGGAACACTTCCCGATTCATATGCGTAACGGGGCACCGCCAGCTGCCTTCATCAGTCATGGAGAAAATGAATCGTGACGTCAGCCACAGACGGCTTTGCCGCCGACACAATGGCAGGCGCCGTGGCTGCCTCTGGAAAACCGTTCCACCGCGGCCGCCTCCTCACCGGAGAAATGGAAGCAATTAATAAATTTACAACCCACTCGCTATCTTCGCAAAACAGAGGGTGAAGGGGAGGGTGGGGTGGGGTGGGGGAGAGAAGGCAACTCGGAAAGTGACAGAGAGCCTTCCTACCCGTCTTGACGCTTGACTCGCAAAAGTTAAACGGATGATAAATGGTAGACACGGAAACGGGGAAAGAGAATCTTTTTCAGCTTGGGAGGAGACGTGAGAGATGTTTCGGCTCCCTCACGGTTTTTAGTTCCATGCTCCCTATCTATATATCTTTATCTAGATCAACGGAGATGCATCAGTCAGTTCCTAATATGGGGTTTACTCGGTAGCACGAACCAACAAATGCGATCCTGGAGCGGGAACTAAACCTTTCCTTCACCTCAGTGGGTTAGCATTAGTTCCATTCCTTATGCCATGTTACTTTCTCCCATAGATGGAAATGGTTTCCACCTCACATGTCTGGGAGAAAGTAAAATGGGGCAGTTAAGGGGTGCTGTTCTGGTTTCTCCATAGGCCTACGCCTCTCTCACTTTAGTCTAATGACATGCTTTGCATCTTAAATGAAGGATAATCCCGAACTCGATGTCAGAAGACCCTGATCTGGATGGCCCAGGCTAGTCTGGTGTGTGAACTCTAATCTGGGAGAACTGGGTTTGATTCCCCGCTCCTCCACATGCAGCTGCTGGATGACCTTGTGCAAGCCGTAGTTCTCTCAGAGCTGTTCTCTCAAGGACAGTTCTCAGGAGAGCTCTCTCGGCCCCACCTACCTCACAGGGTGCCTTTTGTGGGGAGGGGAAGGGAAAGGAGCTTGTAAGCCGCTCTGAGACTCTGAGTGAAGGGCAGGGTATAAATCCAATCTCCTCCTCCTCCTCCTCTTCTTCTTCTTCTTTTCCCCCCCCGCTATAAATGTTTATTATTTCTGTTTGTTTGTTTTTAACATATCAAGAAATATAATAACTGCAAAACAGTATACAAAACCAGTTAGTCATCAATACAAATTTTTACAACATACATCAACAGTCATAACAAACTAAGTTAGTACTAAATCTGATCACCTATACATAGATGCTATGTGAGCTATGATTCCCACAGAATTGAGTCAAGTTTAAAAGATAACATCTTCAGAAGTCTGCTGCTCTGATTCACAAGAGGAGTCTCAACAGTAAGGTGGAGTAAGGTGGAGGTCTGGTTAAACTCAAAAGTGTAGCCATGTGTGATAACTTGTCCTAGAAGGAAGCACATTATTTTCAGCCATGACGTCAAGTACAGGAAACCAGGTACGTACATATTATCATATGTTTTGCTGGAACTGTTTTGTGCTCGGTCCACAATATTAGAGATCTTATTCATCACTAACTGATCCCAGATCTTGTCATACCAGGATGACAGTGTTGGAGATGTTGGAGATTTCCAGTTTGCCGCAAGCAGGGTCAGCCCTGCTTAGTACTTGGATGGGACTCCAGCGAGGAAGTCCAGGGTTGCTCTTCAGAGGCAGGAAAA